ACTATATTTTTAATTTCATCATAAAATTTGGAATAATAGTTTACGGCTTCTAACCATGTCCCCCACCTTGTTATAATTGGCTCTGGAGAAAGCGGGATGTTTGGATAGTTATTTTTGAATATTTCAATTCTACTTGGAGCTTTTAGAAATATTCGTTTAGTTGTTGAAATTAATAAATCAACATCGGGGTATTGACATCTGACGGTTTCAGCTACTCGATGTAAGGCATGAGCCAAACAAGTTAAGTGAATCATTTTCGGATACAAAACTTTTAAAGCATTTGCCGCCTTAATCATATACGGAGCTGCGTCTGTCACAAGTAGTAAAACTTGTTCATGCTGTATGTTATTGGGCCAAATTAAACTCATTGAATCGTTGAACAATTTTGCTATTGTTTTATGGTTACATTTTTCTAAATTTTCACACGTTAAAAGAATAGGCTCAGAAGGCTCGGAATTCAGTTTACCTACAATAACATTTCCAACATACCTGCCTTCAACGTCAGTAGATTCATCAATAGAAACCCAAATAGGACCATTTTGAATTAAATCACGAATTTTAAGTAATGTTTCTTCGTAAATAGTTGAAACATAATTTTTTCTAAGAGTACTACGGTCTGGCATAGATTTACCTATGTTTTTTTCTAAAAATTCTTTGAAATGTAGATTATCTAATTTAGCAAGAGGTATATCTGCCTTAATCATTGCACGACATAATTCTATATTAAAACTACATTTACTTGAAGATGATGTAAGAAATTGCTGCTTTGATTGCATTTGTTTTTTTACTAATCGTTCTTTGTTAGATTTATGTTTTGATGTTGAGATATGTTGAGTTATCTGAAATTTTTGAGTAGTTGAAACACTTATATCACACGCATTGCAGTAAAGTACATTATTATCACTCGAAAAAGTTTCGTTAGGAAAATCACGGATAACGTTTGAAATTTTAGTTGAAATAGATCGAGCTACTTTAGGCATTATATTTACTAATTTATTATTAAGTCTTTAGTTTTAAATTATAATTTATAACTCGAAATGCAAAGATGTTTTCACAACCACGCGAACACAAGAACTGATAGTCTGTTAGGTACTGTTGTAAATTCGTAAATATATTTTGTCAAATAATTGTATAACATAAAGTATAATCTAACATCATTAAGGTATGGTTATCGAACAGAAACAGATAAGATAAACTAAAATCAAGTTATTAATATTATTTATTTTAACCTACTTATTTCCTATATGCATTATACACTTACAATTTTCCGAATACCGTTTTCGAAATAAAAATGTAAAATATTACTAAACCACTGAAATTGTCAAAATTTACAAAATATGTAAATAAAAACGAAAATTTTACAAAGTATGTAAAAATATGTAAAATAAAATATGTCTTATTTTATTGCAAATCACTCGAAACGAATTTATAATTTGCAATAGTTAATTTATCGTGTTTCACTAAAAATATATATTTACATACAAATCCCAGCCCTAGTAATAACCTACAACTTGTCTATTATACCATTTACATGAATCTTAATTATAAGACTGTCAATTCATAGTAATATGTTAAAAAGTAACTTCAATGTGTTTTTAATATAATAATTCTAAAAATGTTGTTTGTGAGGTACTGAGGTTCAATAAACGTTGGACACCCCCCGATAAATTACCCAAAATACGCCACTGATGATGAGAATATCTCACTGTGAAATACAATGACAAAAAAAATGTTAGAAAAGAAACTGTGTCACAAGAATAAGATAATGTCGTATACATCCACAATCGGGCACGGTGTTCACAGAACAACCCGACCGGTTGGACCGATTGGATAGTATTCCGTGCGGGCGTCGTCGCAACCGTTCGCGTCCCCTGTCCATTGATGGATTGGGGGACGGGGTGTCGCCGCGGCGTCGCGTGCCGTGGTCTGGCGGTTGATGAGAGAGACATAGGCACGGTCGGCGACAGACGTTTCGATAACGGCTGCCGCACGGGTCCGCGTCATAGTTTCATATGTATTAATACATATTTTTTTAATAATTTATTTTAATCAAGGTTATTTACTATAATATTATAATATAGCTCTAAGCAGTATAAGCTATGTTAGTATTTATTAAAAGGATAAATAAGTTATTTTCAAATAGTTTTTTATTTATTTTATAGAAGCTAGAAACATTTAATTTTATAAGTAACCTAAAATTACCAAATCAATGATTACATTTTATTTATATAAAAAAATGCATTTGTTAATTGAAATTTGCACATTAATTAATTAAAATTAATACTGTAAAATTAAGTTTTAATTTTCTAATTATATACATGATTAATAATTTAATTTTTACGTTCCATAATTATGTGATAGAAAACATGTCGAAAACAATAAGGTACATTATCACTAATCAGATAATGAAACAAAAATTAAAAAATTAAAATACCTTGCCCCACTTGACACATTACTGCGGACGCCCTTGGGTATGAAATACTGCCCGGGTGACGTGGCTACGGACATGTGCCTTAAAGCGATGTAATCAGACATAAATGTACAATATAAATTTTTTAATATTGGATTTTCACCAAGTTTACGTTCTAAACTATGGAATCGACAGACCGCCATTTAACGTGAACCAGGGAACGTCATTTTTCATCCGAATATGGATGTTCGTGAACAGAATGCGAAACTGGTTCCATCAAGGTCCATCCAAATATCGAGCTGAACGCTGTTGGGAGTGAGTTATCGATTGACACCTTCCGGCCGTCTAAAATGTCGGAAAAAACATCAGCCCCGTGCAACATTTCGACGGGTGACGACAAATGGAACGTTGGATCGGGCAACGCCAAACTTGAAAATCGATCTTGTATATTGGCCGGCAACGATTGTCGTGGCATATTACAGGTGATTATGGGCAACACATATGCCTTGATATTGAGCACTGGATTAGACGCGAACAGTTGATGGATTACACATGTTGCGATACCACTGACATTAAGGACCGGTGTGGCTGACAAACCATTAATGGGAGTCGTGCGGAACATGACGCCGTAATAGCACTTATTTGTGAGGCGGAATCTACTAGTGCCCGGACTATCTGCCACGTGCCGTATTGGTCGCGGGCATGGGCAAGTACTGTGCCCAACACAGTTAACGGACTACTCACAGGTATTGACGAGGAAGCACACAAGACAGCTCCTGCCGCAGATGACGTAGCGACTGAGGACGTTTTATCTTCGACCACATGAAGAAGCGCGTGATGATTCCGAGAACACACTGTACACCGATCGCTCGATAAACATTTGTTTGACCAATGTTTAGCACTAAGGCAATTAAAACATAACCGGTTGTCACGAGCGAAACGGCATCGTTCATCAACGGACCAGGCGTCAAGCTGACATGACAATAAATTATGGCACCCTTTGCAACATAAAAATAAATTGTCTTTTACCGGGGCCTTAGATACGACAAGGGATGTAGAATACGGTTTTTCGGTTGAGGTGCCTTAAATGATAATAATTGCTGCGGTATTGATTTATGGGCCTTACCAGCAACGGCTGATTTACGTGAATCGCCAACATTTTCTAAAATCGAAATACGAGATTGAGTGAACTCCAATAACTTGGTGACCGTTGGATAAGTTGATGTTGACAACGATTCGAACAATTTCCGGGTCATAAGCGACATACAACGGAACGCTATTGAAAACAATATAAATGAGTCGGGGTCGGGGATATGGAGCGATTCTAATAAAGCAATATTTTTCTTGAACGTTTGCACAAAATTATTCAAATCTTGAAGGGACTCCTGATTGTGCACATGTGCGTTGAGCAATGTGTCAATTAAGAGGACGCTCCACATGTAAATATTGAGACCAAAAACAAGGTTCACGTGAACACGTTTTATCAGAGCTATAATCACCCTAGGAATTCAAAATGTTTACACAATATAGAAGACAACTATTTCTGTGACGTAGTGTTTTTTTTTTTTTTTTTTTAAATAATTAGGAAAGGAGTTATTAAAGCTCAAATATGCATGATATTATATGTTTTTAAAAACCTTATAAAACTACAATGAGTCAAAATATGAAAAAAATAAAAACACTACATCATAGATAAAATTCTCCCCAATACATGGTGAAAATTTCATGAATTTATTATAAATGTAGCCTGTGTATTTTATTTTCCCGTAAAACAGTTTTTAACAATGTTTTATGGTACATACAAATATTCGTCATTGATTTGTGCGTTGTTCCTGTTGTTATGGGCTACCACAAAAACATGTATAAATAGAATTGTGCGTAACACAATATCACAGATGTTACACACCTATATTTGATCATAGACTATCTATAATCATTAATTTAAAATATTATAAGATTAATATATATTCTTAGAAACACCTACATTTAATAGGTTGGCCATAAACCAATAATCTATATATATAAAAATTTCGTGTCACGATGTATGTTCGCGATAATCTCCGAAACTACTGGACCGATTTTGATGAAATTTTTTACACCGTGTGTAATTTGGTCCAACTTAAAATATAGGATAGTTTTTTTTTCAAATTTTTTAATATTTTAAATATTTTAATTAACTTTTTAATAAATGTGTATAATTGCATGGTGTATTTCGGTGTATTTCAATCACCGGAAACATCGATGAAAATTTAAACGCCAATGACATCGGAACTGCATGTATTTTACCTTCAAGCTACATCAGCAGTCCACGGAGCATGCAGGAATACATACAAGATGCGATGACTTATGTACGTCATTACGGTCGACCTGATTTGTTTGTTACATTTACGTGTAATCCAAATTGGGAAGAAATAAAAAGTTTGTTATTACCAGGCCAACAATCAATACATCGTCACGATATCGTTACACGTGTGTTTAAACAAAAGTTATAATCTTTAATTAATTTAATCGTAAAATATTCAGTTTTTGGTAATGAACTAAATTAAGAAATGAACTAATTGAGAGTGTTTTTCCGGATATATTGAATTATTATTTAGATCACAATTGGCTCTGTAATCGTGCTATTTTGGCAGCAAGAAATGTTGATGTGAACGAAATTAACTTCCATATACAACAGATTTTGCCCGGTGATTTGATGTCTTTTAAATCAATCGACACAGTTATTGATGAAAACGAAATCGTAAACTTTCCAATTGAATTTTTGAATTCTCTGGATTTGCCAGGAATGCCACCACACAACCTTCAATTGAAAATTGGTTCACCAATTATTCTTCTACGTAATTTAAACCCACCTCAATTATGTAACGGTACACGTTTAGTCATAAAAAAAATGACCGAAAATATTCTTGAAGCAACAATTTTGTCGGGAAAATTTAAAGGAGATATCGTCCTGTTGCCACGTATTCCACTGATAGCGTCGGAATCTTCAATACCGTTTAAAAGGCTCCAATTTCCGATTTGTTTAGCTTTTGCGATGACTATAAATAAATCTCAAGGCCAAACAATGTCTATTTGCGGTTTGGATTTGGAAAAGACATGTTTCTCACATGGACAGCTATGTGTTGCCTGCTCACGTGTAGGAAAACCATCAAATCTCTTCGTGTTAGCGAAAGACAGGTTAACCAGGAATGTTGTACACAAAGTAGTACTTAGATAATTTTTAGTTTTAATAATTTAATTTATTTTTGTATGTTTTTAATGTATATAGTATTTTTTGTAAGTAGGTCACTGATTACAAACAATAATTTAATATAAGATGAATAAAATGTAAATTCAGAAAATATATATTTTGGTTTGTACTTAATTTCAACTTTTAGATACTTTACCTATTACTTTTAAATTTTCTCATACATAATAACACTAATACATGGCCTACGAAAATGCTAAAAAACCAACTAATACGCGGGCAACGCCGTGTCGGGACAGCTAGTAACAATATATATTTTAAAAGATTAATATATATTCCTAGAAACACCTACATTTAATAAGACCAGTAATATATATTAAAAGATGTAATCTATAAAATGATAAAGTAGGTCAAACGAACAATGGCCTATTGCTAAATAAGGAATAATGCCGAAACAACAAGTCCTATGACGTCAATCGAGCCATATAAAAGATGGATCAAAATGACCACGATTCAGATGAGTTCTAGTCACGGAACAACAAGCAACTTCACGTTACTCTGTATCAGAATTTTTGTTAACACTTTGAGTTATAAAATAAATGTATTAATGTATTAAGTCTCATGTTTATTTAAATTAAATACATCTTCGACTTGCAACACTTGAAATCGAGCCGGTGGCACGTAACACTGTTGCTAGCATTCGGTCGGTGAACTAAAACCCCCACTCCACTGTTGAAACAACTGTAACTGGTACGACGACGACGAAGACGCGTCGTCGTCGTTATCGGTAGACAGTGATATATATATAATAATTATTGCAGTTCGAAGAAACAACCAAAATTTAGAAATAAGATTATCGATTATCATCAGTTGATTTTATATTATTCACACTATTTTATGCCGTCCATTATAATTTACTATTATTCTGATATTCACAAAATATGAAATCACACATAATTCATAAACTCCAGAAAATTATAATAAATAATTATGTACTATATACATCAATACTAAATTCTTAGGGTTTTTTTTAAATACTTATTACCTACAGGTAGCCACAAGAAACGGTCGTCACGGGAAGCACGCGGCAATCACACGGAACCGTTGTGTCATCGACTACGCACACGAACGAAGAAACGAAGACGGCAAGCCAAAAAACCCACCACCCAAGCGGCCGTTGACCGAACCGGTCTTCTTGTGACTGGCCGGTGGGAGAGGGCGCGCCACGAAACTTCTCGAAACTTCGAGGAGCTTATGGCGCAAATAACGTGCGTTTGGCGCGCAATTTCAAATTAATGGCGAGCACGAACATAGTGTCTCCATTAAGAAATAATGCTTGATAATCAATATCAATCTGAAACAACATAGTATATTTAGACATAAGAAAAAAAAATAACTATTTCAATTAATTACAAGTTTATGGCCAAAAGAAATTGAATATTATTTCCAATTTTTTAATATATTCGCTGTTGACTCTGAATTCTTAATGTAATTAAGTCGATAGTTTACACTAGCTTTCCAGTTTTTTTCAATTTCAGGAAATAGACTGTTGTTATGTTTCATTTCATCCAATATATAATCTATTTCATTTTCTGATACTACAAATAATATAGACATTATAATATATATTATGTATATATATATATTATATATTATGTTTAATTTATAAATTAAATATTTTACCAAATGTCCTCTCAGCCCAACTCTCCTTATCTTGATTTCTGTTACCCGTTTTATTTTTTTCTAATTTAGTTGTAGTATGAATTAACCCAGTATTTTTCAGATTTCTCATTGAGTTATAATACTTGGCATACAATTTGTCTTTTGGGTATTTATTGCATCCAATTTTCATGAAATAGGTATCCTGTAGATTTTAATTTTGGTAATTATTATTATTATGATAGCAATAAATAACAAATTAAATTACCTTAATTTCAGA